CGGAGATGCATGCAGGCGGAAGCCCCGAGAACATTAATCGGCAGTTAACCTATAAATATATCACAGCAAATGACCTAAATATGCACTGAAACAGTGAATGTAATTCAGCGGCTTCTTACCTTTAACAAATTAGGCGTCGCCATGTTTCTCCAACTTATCACCTCGCGGATTCTCGCGAGACAGGTATTCGGGATTAGGTAATGGTAACCCAGTTCACAGAAATAAACCCCTGCTTCTAAAAACAGATTTGTTACAAAATTTGTTTATCTCATCTCAACATATAATGAAATATTGTTAATATACCAAAAATAAAAAACACTTCTGTTTATTTATGGATGAAAAAAATACACTCAAAACACACCAAAGATCTTGCCATGGTTTTAAAAAACATTTGATAATAAATGTCTGAATCCTTAAAATAATATATTCATGATCATTTCACCTAACCTCAACAGTTTCAGATTGTGTAGTAAAAGTGAATAAAGTCATACTTCATTTAATGAACGATAACAGGTTTACAAAGAATCCATAATGTGTTTTAGAACAAGCTGAGCAGTAGATTGTTCTTGATGCACCAGAGTCAGAAAGGTAAACTTATTTTGCCTCCAGGATAAACTGCTTTTAAACAAACTTAGTGTTTCTTAAAATATATACTTTAATGTCAAGAAATGTAGAAATATAGTTAAATGTTACATGCAAGGCTAGGTCAAAGATAAACTGAATAAAGATCCAAAGCAGAATTTAAATTGCAGGCCCATTAAAAGTACTCCATTAAAAAATGGATTTATGTATGATCATTTTGGATTCAACACAACATTTGCTTACAGCTGACATTTACTAAAAAAATATTGGGTTTTGCTTGACAATCATCAGTAGAGTTTATGCAAGTTATTAGAGTTAAAGTAACCTTTTGACTTATTTTATTCATTCTTTTACATTTAATTTATCCATGGTAATATCTTAAAGTTTAATAAACTCATTAGAAAGAATAAATCACTTATTTAAATGTAAAAATGATCAGACAGGGCAGATAACCTGAATTCTGAGAGCAACATACAATAACAATTATTCATCCCTTTCACATTATTTACTTCATGTGACAAAAATGGAACAATGTGGGTTCAAAAAAATGTGCTAACTAAAGCAAACTAAAGGGAAAAACTCACTTATTCAGGGGTTTCAATCGCTTCTATGTTGTTCACAGATGTATAATATCCAAACCTATTCTCTTGAACCTGTGGTTCTGAAGCTACAAGTGGCCCTTTGATTGTATTTTAAATACTTTAGATAAAAAATACAGAGGTAATTAGTGTTTTTTTAAATTTATAAATATCATAGGATTTCCTTTAATAACTGCTGAATCTTTGCATGAGAATAACACTTAAGGTACCAGTAACATAGGTGTTGTAGTTTTAATAGGGGCATACTGATTACAGTTTCCTGCCTGATCACCGATCTTTAAAAACCCCGACATGCTGATTCTGATTTTGGTCAACACTGGTTTTTTTTTATAAAGGCTTTTATGGGATCACAATACATCTTCAATGTTTTCGTCTTATTTTATTGAGGAAAACTGAACAATATCCATGATGTAATATACTTGTTTAACCTGCACAAGATAACGATCTGAAGTATAACTGAAACGTTTGGAGCAGGGGGGGGTTAAATCTTTCAGAGCTTTGAAGAGGATAAGATCAGTTTCACATCTAAGTATCAGCTGATCTCCAATCTCCTAAATCAATGAAACCCAGAGCTGATCATTGGCTGGGTGATCGGTGCGTCTGTTTTTTTTTTTTCAGATCTATTGCTGTTGTCATTAAGTTGTAATGATAATAATAGTAATAATTGCACTTTATTAATCGCACACTAGAGGAATTCTTCCCTGCATTTGACCTATCCACTTAGGGAACAGTGAGTTGCCATTGTGCGGCACCCAGGGCACAGTGTGGGGTTAAGGGTCTTGCTCTGGGACCCAGAGCGGCAGTACGTGGGATAGGAGCTTGAAATCAGAACCTCTGGATTCCAAGCGTAATGCCCTAACCACTAGGCCACCTCTTCCCCATAAACGTAAACAATGTCCTTTGCTACACTATTTACAGAAGAATCAGCACGCTATAGAGAAAAAGTAATCCCTTCTGTACATTTTTTAAAAATAATTTTTTTTAACCTTTAAAAGTCAATGAAAATAAAGACAAATTGTCTTGTGTAGATATTTACCAACAATTATGTACATTCTCAGCAAACTTAATATTTGCAACTCAAAGTAAATTTGATTTTGCTGGACTGAGAGGAAAAATAGCTCTTTGGCTTGTGAAGGTTAAAACCCCTCTCTTAGACATACAAACTGCTTTTATAAATATTTATTTAAGAAGGAATCTCAGTAAATTTCTTGGGCTGTGCTATGACGCATTCCCCTTATGAGATAAGTCCTGTTGTGAAATGTCCTTTCTATTAAATAATACTCCAGCAACCTATTACAACAATGTCGAGGCTATTGCGAAAGTCAGCCTTCTATGGAGTTATTTCTTTGCTTTTATTAAACTCAAAGAAAAAAAACTAACTGAGAGGGGGAAAATCATTTTGAAAAAAAAATAATTATATTACAGAGAAAAAATTTCACACTGATAGCAAAAACAAATGTTATTTGAGACTGAAGAAAAAGTTTTGAGGATTAGGATTCAATCAGTGATAACAATCTACTCAGCCTATTGAAACAATCTGAGGTCTTTCTATGGGACTGATCATCCCTAATAACGGCCATGTATTGTGATGATAACATCTGATACAGCTGCAAACAGCTGCTTAGTATTTCCTGTGTAATAGTAGACACAATCAACATGAGGATAAACTCCATGAGATGATGCACAGGTCCTATTAGAACAATGTTTTTAGACTTTATCTCCATCTGCTGCCAGATGATTTCTCCCAAACGGATACATTGATCCACTAGCATTCAAGAAGTAAAACCTTGATGTTATCGTGGTCACAACAGACTATGGCAAGCCGTTTTGATATGTATTAATTTTATTGAATATGTATTCCTGATATCTGAAGAAACATTTTTTCCTTGTCAAAATGACCATTTCAAACATAAGGATGCTCTTTGCATTTAGAATAAACATTCTGATGGTCTAGAAATGAACCATAGATCTCCATATTACTATTGTTACTGGTAGGCATTTGTATTGTTTTGACTATGGAGAAAAGTATTTCAGATACCATAAATACATATTCAGACATGCTGATAAATGTTAAAAAAGGTTGCTTAAAATTTGTACATATTTCTACCGGTAGATATATAAAACTTAAATCTTAATAGTAAAATATTGCAGTTTTTTTCAGTTTCTGCTGCAAAAAGAAAATATGGGATTATGCTTCAGTTTAGGAATGTGATTTTGATCAGGAACAATCTTATTTTAGTTATCTAGCCTCCAGGGAAGTCCTATGCCAAGACATTGGAGAGGAGAGGCGATGGTCGAACCTTGACTGCAAGGGGGGTAGTGTGGATTTTGTCCTTGCCATGGAACAGTGGACTAGCTCTACACCCTTCACAGGGTGTTCAGCTAGTCCACACATGCTTTGTGGACCTGAAGGCATTCGACCGGGTCCCTCGTAGTGCCTTGTAGAGGTGTTTCAGGACTGAGGAATCTGGGGCCCTTTACTAGGGGCTGTCTGGGTTCTGTACAAGTGGAGCAGAAGCCTGGTCTGTGTTGCCAACGTTAAGTCGGACCTGTTCCCAGTGCATGTTGGATTCCGCCATAGCTGCCCTATGGGGCCGTTTGCAGCCGAGTGTGAAGCGGGAATTAGGTCCTCCAAGTCAGAGGCCATGGTTCTTGACCTCAAAAAGGTGGCTTGACCCCTTCAGGTGAGAAGTTGGAAGGTTGGAGTTTAGGTATCTTCGGGTCCTGTTCACCCGTGAGGGTAGGATGGAGCAGTAGATCAATACACGGATTGTTGCGGCTGCTGCTATAATGTGGATGCTGCATGAGTGAGCTTAGTGAAAAGGAAAAGCTCTCGATTTACTGTTCAGTTTACGTTTCTACCCTCCCCTATGGTCATTAAATCTGGATCATGACCAAAAGAATTAAATCCCGGATACAAGCGGCCAAAACGAGCTTTCTCTGCATGGTGACTACCGGTGTCTATAGAGAGGGAAGTCTGTAAGCCTCTACTAAGACTGCTGGCTCCGCAACCCGGTCCGGGATAAAGCAGGAGATGAAAGCCACCCCTTCTTCTTAACCTGACAAATACAATCTTGAAATGTTTATTCTATTTATTGTTTGAGCTACTATCGATTTTCTGCTGTGAAATAATGAATAATATAAAAGGTACTAAATTGTTAAAACCACCTTTCAGTTCACTCAAGGAATCTCTATAATTAAAACGTACCAAACAACTCAAGACCATTAAGATAGTTTAAAACACTATTTAAGATATAAAGACAAAAATGCATTTTAGTTGTATCTGTATTTAAATAAAAGTACATATTCATGCACATCTAGGGAAATTAAAAAAGGTTTTTTAGTATCTTCATTCGTTCAGTTTACATCACTAAAAACAATTATAAATAATGTTACTATTAATATGTTTGTTAATGGTTTTTGTTGTTTCTGGTGCTTTTAACAGATGTGTTTATATACTTGTTAAAAAGTTGTGTGGCAGATGTGAGATTGACCCATTTTATCTGAAATAAAGTTAAATAGATCCCCCCTCCTGATCTCATCAGCAATTTTAACAAGAGGAAAACGTGATTAATTATGCAGATGGTTTTACATTTAGAAAAGTGAAAGTATATTACAATTACAATAGTTAAAGCCAAATCTTTCATCATGTATCTCTTATAAGCTCTTATCTTCCATGCTGCTGATTGTCTTCTAACTGCATTTTAAAAATATAGATAAGTAAGGGAATGACCTTTGACCACTGAGACAGTTAATCATTCAGCTCCAAAACAATGAAAGGAAAGGATTTTAAAGAGCCTGAAACTCAGAGGACTCTTCAGCTGCGGTAGTGAGAGAGCATGGCTGCTAAACAATCCGAGGAGCCCGGCGAGGGAAATAACTTTGAGGGCCAATGTAATGGATTTCTGATGAAGCTCAGAGCGTTCAAACCATCGGAGGTTCTCACTTGGTGAGTGGATAAAATAACTTCTTCATTGGGGAAGTTTGTGGAAACCTCTGAGAAAAACAACTGAGAAATTCCTATTTAATTCAAACTTTGTATAGATATTAAATTTAAAGGACTTAAGCAACCGTATCTGTAACGGATAGATGATAACAGATATTTTGTAATTTTCCGCTTCCCGAATTGGACAAAGACAAATCCTCAGGTAATAATAAAGAGTCCTGCAATTTATATATATATAAAAAAAACTTAAGCAAGAAGCTATCACTGACAAAAAAAAAAGATCTTCTTTGTAACGCAATGGAATTTTATAAAATAAATGTAACATATGTTTTGTAACTTATACATACATGTACTGTCCTGTGCTGTAAGGTGCAGTGCATGTTGCCTAATGGATCCATATAAATTCCCTACATGCCTTTAAGTGACTGTTTTATTTTTTTATTTTTGTGTTGTTGAATTTAAACATGAATATTTTAAAGATCAGGGGCAGCTTAGACCTACATAAAATGAACAAATGGTTTACCTTATATATTTTATGTTTAGTCAGCTCATTTGGGTCCTTACAAGAGCAATAGTTTGTCATCCAAAGCTACGTGTCTGAAGATAATCTTTTGTTTCAAAGTGATATCAAATGTTGGCTTATGTGTTACCAACAAGTGTTATGCTTTCAAATTAATCCAGTTTTATTTGGTTTATATTTAAAGCACCAATTCAGAACAAAAGTTTCAAAGCATTTAAAATAACACAAATACGTTGTTCCAAGTTATATGCATACTGGTGTTTTCCTCATACTGGTGATCCCTTAGGGATCACAGGGGGTCCATGACCCCTAGGGGGTCCACAGAGGTGCTGCATGGGGGTCGCAAGAGTTTTGGTTGATTAGAATTTCCTTTTTTATATCCCCCCTGCAATTTTTTCCACTAATTGAAATTTTTTAAATACTCATTAACATGAATTCAACACACTGTAGTTAACAGATAAATGGAGGCAGAAGATGTCTTTCAGTCATCAATTCAAACATTCAGCGACACACAGGAGCTCTTTCAAGCTGGACACCGTTTCATTCACAACACCTGTCCCATCAATGAGGAATCACAATCAGAAATACTTTAATAATCCCAGGGAGAAATTACTTTCGTTACATGACTCCATCTGTAATAGAGTGACTATAGCACCAGTTTGATAGAACACAATTTCATACCATATATATAATTGGGGGTCCTTGGCCTGGAAAACTTTGAAGACCGCTAGTATTGAGTAATTCAGAGGTGGGACCAAGTCATTACCACCCAAGTAACAAGTTAGTCTGAATGCTTTACAGTCGAGTCACAAGTCCTTTGGTTTAGATTTCATGTCATTGACAAGTCATATAGTTGAATCTACCTCAGTTATATACAATAAGGTATAAAATTCGGATACATGACAAAAATGCGTTGCTTGCAGGTCTTGTAAGATGTATCAGTGTTGCCACCTACCCCTATTGTGAGCATATTGTGAGCTTTCTCACCACTTTTATATTTCAAATTATTTTGTTTTGTCTTTAAGATTTTAATATCCTCTAGGAAATGTGCACATATTCATGTCTCTAACTGATATATACTTTTGCAGGCAGCTTGCTAAGACACTGGCCATGGGTCAGGGTCTGGCGGGTCTGATCTGTGGTACCGCCGTATCCTCTCAGTACCTGGCCACAGAGTTCCAGGTGAACACACCCATGCTGCAGAGCTTCCTGAACTACACACTGCTGTGTGCCACCTACACCACCATGCTGATCTGCAGGAGAGGTAGGACTACTAGCAGCAGGAAGGCCAACTTTATCTAAACATTTATATTTAGTGGTACAGCTGCTTGCATTTTTTTTTTTTTTAATCTGGAATTTCCTCATATTTTCTGCTGGTAAACAGGCTTTCAGACTTGATGAATAGCTCTCCATGAGCTTGAAGTTTCAGTGTTTCTGAAAAAAAAAAAAAAAAAAAAAACAACATAACAAAACAACACTTTTTATTTATTTGGATTTTTTCACAAATTCCAGACAATTCTACACTTGGAAGCTTCTTTGTTCTTCAGTTAAATAGATTTTCAGTGATGAGACGGATTATTTCTGTCATCATCTGCACTATCATAAACTAATCTGATCAACTTATAGTCTGATTAACTGTCCTCATACTTGCTGGAAAAAAACACTTTTCATTACTGAAACTCAGGGGTGATCCCCTTTAAAATGCAGGGGATGGAAATATTTTACAGATTCTTAAGAGAAGATGGTGGAAGTACCTACTGCTGGGTCTGGTGGACGTGGAGGCCAACTACACCGTGGTTAAAGCCTATCAGTACACCACTCTCACCAGCGTGCAGGTGAGTACTGGATGTTTTCCTTCAGCTTACATGTCTTAATCTCAGACATCCCACCTGTTTGATCATGTGTGATGGTTTCATATTATGTTGCGTTTGTCATTTCAGAGACTTTGTTTAGCCAATTAATAATCAGGTCATAGTTCAATGTTTTGGATTTGCTCTTCCTTCACTATAATTTAATTCTGCAGTAAAGTATAAAAAAGAAGCTACATTAATATCCTAGCTTTCATTTTTTCAGTACATTGCATGTAATACAAACAACCAAAATCAATGTATTATTTCTGCTTTCAATGGTTTTAAGGCAAGGCAAATTTATTTATATATTGTACTATAGTATTATACAGAGACAATTCAAAGTGTTTTACATGAAATAAACAATATAAAAGAAAAATAAAAGCAGAATAGAAGCCAGTAAAGATTAAAAACTATAAAAGCAGGTAGTAAAGCAAATGAAACAGTTGAACCACAGCCCTAAACTAATAGTACATCAGTTAACAGTCTAACTTCAACTTGCAAAGGCAGTTCTAAACAAATAGGTTTTAACTTTAACTTAAAAGAACTCCGGCTTTCGGCACTTTTCAGTCATCTGGAGGTTTTTCCCACATATTTTGATCATAGAAACTAAGCTTCTCCATGTTTGGGTCTAGTTCTGCGTGTACAGAGTAGACTTGAACTAAAAGACCTGAGTGGTCTGGGAGGTTGATACACTGACAACAAATATGCAGTGAGAGAAAACAGTAGCCAGAAAATACAGCAAAACAGCATAAAATGACACCATGGAGCACAGTGGTGAAGGAGTGGTGATTTAGGCTAATTTTATAGCCACAGAACCTGAAAACTTCATAGTCACTAGGTGATCCAATGACTCCTCAGTATACCAAGGTAATCATGTGAGCCTATCTGTTTGGTTCAAACCATCTTTAACAGAACTATAATCCCAAACAGACAAAATCTATTTAAATGTCTGAAAAACCAAAGGACCAAGGTGTTGCATTGGCCCAGTTAAAGTCCAGCTCAAAGTGTGAAATTTAGAGCGGTGCAGAAGGAAAGATGACAAAACGATGCATAATGTTGTGGGAGATGGTCTGCAGCACGGCACAGCTGGTGTCACTGTTACTTTGCAGGTTTTTCTCATTAGTCCAAACCCAGGACTCGTTCTCCAAGGGGTTTTATCTCATCCCCATGCATGAGTGGTTTGTCTCCAGGTGCTAAGGCTTCCTTCTGCCGCCTGAAAACAAAAACATGAATGTTAGGTTTACTGGTCCCCTTAGATTGGCCTAGTGAATGTGAGCATGGCTGTAGCTCTGTTTTTATTGCTGTCCTGTGAGGGACTGGCGATCTGTCCAGGTTGTACCCCGCCTCTCGCCCTTGACCCCTCAGTAACAGTGCAAGGACAAGCAGATTGGACAGATGGGCGTGAGAGACTGATAAAATCAGAGAGAAAGTTATTGGTGCTGAAGGTTGTTCTACAGGTTGATGGACCATGGGGTGTACTTAGTTTTTTTTATACACAGCTTTTTCATTTAATGTTTACTGTTTAATACATGCAAAATGTTTTTACCTAATATTTGATTTAAATAAATTTGTCAAGATTATTTCCATAATTTCCCATAAGCTGTGCTTTGTTTTTATTATGATTGAGTCAGGTTTACTTGTTTTCTACTACAGTTGCTGGACTGCTTTGTGATCCCGGTCCTGATGCTTCTGTCCTGGTGGATCCTGAAGACCCGCTATAAGCTGATCCACTATGTGGCCGTCTGCCTCTGTCTGCTGGGGGTGGGGGCCATGGTGGGGGCTGACCTGCTGGCTGGAAGAGACCAGGGCTCCTGTAAGAGAGAGAGGGTTTCTAAATCAGAGTTATGGATTTACCTAACCCTTCTTTTTCTTTTTTAGACTCTTTTTTTCCCCAGCATTTTGTTTTTGCTTCAATTCTGAAAAAAGTATTTTTTTAGGAGTGGGAGGATTTTCATCTTAGTTTATCCATTTGTGTCAGTAGTTTACTAGTACTGTTGCTCCCCTCTGTTCCCAGTTTAAACTCTTCATGTTCAAGTTCATCCATCATTAGATCTTCTCTCCTCATCTCCTCTAATATGTTCCCTCCTGAGTGCAGTTATTGCCCTGCAAAAACTACCTGGAAATAAGTTAAAAACATTCTTAAATTAAGTGTATTTACCCATTTTGCAAAGGTAAATAAGATGATTTGCCATTGCAATGAGTATTTTTACTCTTAAAGTAAGACAATTAGTTAATATGAACTTGAAATAAGACAATGCAATTGTTTTTTTCTTATTTCAAATGTAAATTCCCTTGTTCCATTGGCAAAGTGTCTCACTTACCTCCCCAATTAAAAAAAACAAACACTTATTTTAAGAAAAAATAGATAATTTTTTTGCTGTGTAAGGATAGGGTTTGCCCACAGTCCCCAGCTTTGTGTCTTGTCCTCATTAACTTTAAAACATGACAGTAAATTGTTTTATTAGGCCATAAGCTAATTGAAAGAAAGGTCTCCTACCTTAAGTTGCATCTACTCTCTGTGCAGCCTCCAACATCTTACTAGGCGACGGTTTGGTGCTGCTCAGTGCAGCTCTGTATGCTGTGTCTAATGTGTCTCAGGAGTACACAGTGAAGAATCTGAGCAGAGTGGAGTTCCTAGGAATGATTGGCCTGTTTGGGACCATCATCAGCACCGTCCAGATGTGAGCCGTCATCAGCGACCTGAATCGATTTTACATAGTTTTTTACCTGGAGTTAATTTTTTCCCCATTATCTTATATGCAGGGTGATCCTAGAGCGCAATGAGATTCCCGGCATCATCTGGAGCTGGCAAGTTGGTCAGTACTCAGCTTTTCTGTCATCTAATGGTGCAGCTTATTGGAACTGAAAGGTGTTTTATATGAAACCTTATTCTAAGAATTAAAACAGGAAATATGTTTGTTTGTGATACCAGACACGTTCATTCTTTGTTTAATCAGAATTTATTACGCTTCTTAATTTTACCTACTGGGGTTAAAAATGGCAATTTGGAAAATGCCCCAAGTAGGAGAGTTTTTGTCTATTCTTCCAGGAATATTTGATCTTGACCTGCCAATACCTGCTTAAGGATTAGTGCACATTTAATACTTGGTTTATCAAATGTTTCTCCGGTATTTCGAGGGTTTTCTTTAATCTGTTTTGATACTGGGGTAGAAAGTGAATAAATTAGACGAAGTCAGGATCCAAAACTATTTCAGAAATTCTGAAGGATTTGTTTTTATATCAGCATCTCTTTGAAAGATTGCAAGAAAGTTTTCTTTAAGAAAATTATTAAATAAATGAGATTTGTTTGTGCAGTGATGTTTCTCTTATTTTTTTTCGATTTTTATGGAAATTTTGCCCACACATACACCCACCTTTTTTGATAATAATAATGGGCTGCTTGCGTAGAAACAGCTATAGTCCTTAAATCACTTTCTATACAGAAACGCTTCATTTTGTCTGATTTAAACACACTTCTTCTCTCTTCTCAGGGCTCCTGTTCTCTGCTTATGCTTTGTGCATGTATGCTTTGTACAGCTTCATGCCCATAGTGATGAAACTGAGTAGCGCCACCTCCGTCAACCTCTCCCTCCTAACCGCAGATCTCTTCAGCCTCTTCTTTGGGATCTTCCTCTTCCAGTACAATGTGAGCAATGTTATTTTAGCTGAAAAAAAAAAATAGACAAAAATTATGTTTCGTAAAAAGGCGAAAAATCTACATAGGTTCTCCTTCTGAACTCAACATAGAGTGAGGCGAGAGCCACAAACTATACTTTTTGAGAGTTTTTTAGAGACTCACACAAGCTATGAAAATATGTGGATTATAAATATTTTCTTTAATTGAAAATCTAATTTCAAATGGATTTTTAAGTTCTCAGGATGTCACCTAGTGCCAAGTTAATGAACCATTCATTTGATTTAGATGTGCTGAGTCAGGAGAACATCTAAAATATGGGACCAAATTCTCCAAAGACCAACTTTAGGTTGGAATCCACACCACTGGAACTAAGGTTGTATGTTCAGGGTTAACATCCCTCCTGCAGGAGGACGTCTGTCGCAGGAGTTTTTATGTTTAGCTCAACTTTGGCGAGCTTCCCTAATGCACAAAATAATCCAACAGCATTATGCTGCCACCACTTTGTTTTAAAGCTGGGACAGTTTACATTTGTCTGAGGACGTTTAAATACTATGTGTAAAAATAGCTCAAAGCCTCTGTATTATCTAAAGTTTAAGGAAACTTCAAGGCTTCCTTAAAAGCTTCTGCAGGACCTTTCAACCCAGCCATGTTTTAACTCTTTGCTCAATTCACAGGAAAAAATCCTAACGAGCCATAAAGATGATTCAGATGCATGCTCCTGCAGATGAATCTGAATGAATAACAAAAAACACAAAGAAAGATTTCATATAAAAATGACCTTGATATTTTAGAAATGTTCTGCTATATTAGAAGATGATGAGTAGTAACAGACATCCGTTTTTTTCTCTATGTTCTTATGTTGTCTTATTCTGATCCAGATACGTTATCTTCAAGATTGTTATCACTGGAAACAAGCAAAAAACGTGACGCACAGCTTTAACCCTGAAGGCTGTACAGCTGTAAACTGACAGCGTGAGCCAGAGAATGGCAGAAGTTGGAGCCTTTTTCTGTGTTTTATTTTAAATTTTAATATTTACCAAAGTCAGTTTATGTTGCTTTAAGTGAGGTACTGTGCTCCACACTCCTCCCTGGGTCACAGTAACCTGGAGATTGTTATAAAGATTCTGGAGTGTTAATGAATAAATGTCTAAAGTTAACCTGCAATCTCACTATCATCTGGATTCAGAAAGTACACTATCTAATCACGATTTTAGTAAAGGTGTGTGATGATCCCAATCAATAAAAGAGATATAACATTAAGAAAAGCTTTTCAGAAGTGGATACAACATTAGATATTCCTGTGACAGCAGTTTCCCCCTATATAAATAGGCAACAGAATAAAGAAGAACAGCATAACTTTGACAGCGTTGTATTTGGTTAAAAAGACTCCTGGAAAATTTTTATTTGGACAAATGAGAAATATTAAGATATTTGACCAAAGTGCACAGCATTAAAGAAGAGGAAGTCCAGCAGATCAGCACCTACACAATTATAATGCACGGTGGAGGAGGTGTGATTGCTTGGGTTTGTTTTGTTGCACAGGGTATGGGTTTCTTCAGTTCATGAGTCAGAAATTATTCAAAATATATTATAACAAATTTAACTGAATTAAATTAAAATCAAGTCAATTCAGTTCAATTCAATTTAGTTTAAGTTGATTCATTCATTTAATTCAAAACAACTTTATTAATCCCATGGGGAAGTTAAATAAAGTTATTTGTATAACAAAGTATTTTAGCTTCACTGGAAGTCTGTTTAAAGGTTCAGTGATGCAAGCAGAAAATAATGGTCCAGTCAAAGTCCATAGATGGCCTGTAGGGGTGTTATAGGGGCGACAGTGGCGTCCGATGTGGGAGTTTGCCCTGAAATCGAAGGGTTGACGTTCAAGCTTCGGCTCTGGCTTTCAGTGCTGTTGTTTTTGTGACACACGCAGCAGTCAGAGGGCTCAGTGTACTGCTGCCTCCTTTCTGTCAGTGAGCCCCAGGGAAGCTTTGGCTACCGTGTAACTTACCACCAGCAGTATGTGAGTGAAAGGGTAAATGACTGAATGTAATGTGAGGCGCTTTGGTCAAGCCTTCTGACTTAAAAAAGCGCTAAACAAGTACAGGCGATTTTACCAAAGTCCATAGACTCTATTAAAAAAGCTCTGCTGGGATCACCTGAGCAGAAACAAATGTCTGGAAACCTCAAAAGATTTAAGCAACACTGGAAAATGAGATAAGCTTCATAACCAAACAGAGAACAACAAGCTGTTGCTGCAAGAGGTGGCACTAAAAGACAGGAAAGCGAAGGGTTTACTACTTTATTTTTTGTCCTGATGAGTAAAACAGTAGAAAGAAAACAGGTTGTACTTCCTTTAACAATGAATGTTACTGTGTGACATTGGGAGCATTGCATTTTAGTGTCTGATCTTCACATTTTGTTCACCAATATGTTTCAGAATCAGCGTTTCCTTTCTACGTCTCCCCCTTTATTTATCAGTTTGTAGATTAAAGCTCTTTACTCTCTGCGTCACCTCAGTTCTCTGGACTCTACCTGGTCTCCCTCGTGGTCATCCTTGTTGGCTTCATCACCTTCAACGCTGTGCCAACACCCACCGTCTCCACAGACGCCAACACCTCTTCGTCTCCCTCTTCTATCTACGAGGAAAGCGTTTATGAGAATCCGGGGGCGACAGGGAATGAATTCGCCACAGAGGAAGCGGCTGTTAGCATCCCTGCAGAGCTTGAGGAGGAGGAGGATGTGAATAAGAAGAGGGCTTCAGATTTATCAATGAGCCTTGGACAGGAAACATTTCAAGTTGGACTCAGCACTAAACTGTGAACAACTAAAGAGTGGAAAATAGAATGTGACTCTTTTTTTTTTTGAGGTGATCCAAAAGGACGGTGAATATAGAAATATTGCAGAAAATCTGTGCAAATAGAAAACATTTTCTTTGTTTTTCTTCTTCTTTTTGTAGCTTATAATGAGAGTTTATTTTCTGGTGTCAAAATCCTTTGTTCCTGAGGAATGTTTGTCACCGTATCTTAAAGTTTTTGCTCCATGGGAGGTTAAATAATAGGAAATAAAGCATGAATGTACAGGCTTTGAGGGCAGCAGTTTAGACTCGTCCTTAGTCCTTACGGTCAGAAGGCCCTGGGTTTAAATCTCAGGGAGGTTGAGGCCTTTTTTAAGAAATGTATTCTTTGTCATATACATAGTTTCTCACACAATTCAACAACATGCCAGCTGGTAGCTCAAAAATGCTCTTAAATATAATTGTGTGCATTAAACACTGTTTGCCTGACGCGTGCCTTCATTTTGAAGAACTGATCTCCCAGAACCCTGAAAAGAATTGAGGTGCTACAGAAATTCAGATTTGTCAGCAACAAAACAAAACACAAATAATAGCATAAAGGTACAAAAACTAGGAAGAGACTATGCGGCGAAGGAGAACCCTGAATGTCTGAAAAGAAACTATGTGCAACTATAAGGTGCCATACTCAGATCAAATAAAAAAGTAAACAGCAGCCCATTTAGACATTAAAATGTAAAAATAACTGCATGAATATAAAAAGAGGGAGCAATCTGTGACCTGCAGCTCAGGAGTCTCATTTGTCCCTTTATTCAACACAGAGTTACCGTCTTCTCCAACAGAGTGACCCTGATGGTAGTTATAAAACTTCATGGCTTTTAGCTCATTTTTCATAAACATGGAATTAAAGAAAATGTTTTCATCTAGGTTTTGTAAAGGGTAGATAGTTTACCCTTTTTTTATTGTTCTCAATTTTTATTGATTTCCTGCAGTAAGAAAAAAATACACATACACATAGACATACACAGATCCAATGTAGAAAAATAAAGAACTTGTCTGATCCAGTGCACATGTGATGGTGATGATGGAGACTTCCACTCCACAAAATAAGGCGTCAAGCCAGTTAACAAGCAAAGGCTTCAAAAGTTTCCTCCAAAGAAGACAAACGGACATGGGGGGGTGATACACCTAATAAAGCAATGGTAGCATAGGGTTCAATTCATTTCCTGGTCGTTTTAGATAAAGAATTAAGATGTGTCCCCAGTAAGAACTCAAGACAAGACATGACCAAAACACATGCGTTTGACTTGCATTAACCAGACCACAGTGATCACAGACAGGATCCACATCCCTAAACATTATTGAGAGCCTAATCTTTGTCAGGTGGGCACAAAAATGCACCCATTTGCACTAAATGAATGAATGTTTGGAGCAAATAGATAATTCATGTACTTTCAAAGGCATCCTCTTCCACATCCGTAAATTGTTCAGCCAACTTGTCTTGCCCGAGCATCTCATGAGACTTTAAGGGGTTTAGCCTTAAGGAATAAATCTGGACATAAATAAATGAGATCATTCCTTTCAGACCAGGGAAAGTGTTGAGAAACATGTCAAGGGGAGATGCAGGGGGTTGAGCAGGGAACTGAGAAAGTCTACCAACAAACCCACAAATCTGTAGATATCTAAAAAAGAAATGTTGCCTAGGAAGAGGGAATTTTTTAGTTAGCTGCTCAAAAGAGGACAAAACATGATCTATATACAAATTTTAAATTGGACAAAATATTAAAAGCACTATCTACATGGATTTTTTGTAACTGGAACGCACAGCGAATATGTCTGGAGTCCAAAGAAACATCTGAATTATTTCCATATCCTCAAGGATGTCTTAACAATTACATTTTTTTGTTTTCCTTTTTTTTTTTTTTTACCTATAAATCTGTATAATCATAAAACAAATAAACTGGGTAGGGTATGTATCTATAAAAACTGCCATATAATAGCTACCTTTTTGGAAGTGCCCTGGACAATTTGAACTAGTAGAACACGAGGTAAAAGTCTTTTAGCAGTTTCACCTCCATCCAACTTCCACAGATGGTCTCTTCATTATTATAAGATGAGCTCCTGGTGTCTGCGTTCCAGTGAGACTCATTAACCATGGGAGTTTATCCTCCCTAAAAGTGGTTATATATGGCAGAATGAAATCTTTGTAATTTTGATATACTAATTATTTTTCTGTTGAAGACTTTTCAATGTGTAGACCTAAAGTTTGCCTTTTTTTTTTTTTTTTTATAGGAATCACTCTTCAGACAGAAGCAATGTCTCTAAAGCCTTCAGATTTAACGCACATGTTATCTGACTTGTTTTGTTATCTGAACCTTTCAATGACAAAAAAGCCATTTTACTCTCTGGTTACTTTTGCAGAGCTTAAAAACAACCTGACCTCCAAAGATATGATGGATTTCACTACTTCACATCAGAGAGTTTGCTCAAAAACAATATTTGAGTAAATAAACAGCTGAGCCAACACTTCTGATGTTTCCTGTCTAATAAGGAAAAATTTATGAAGTTCTTTAAGGAAACCCTAAACTTGGATGACCATCTAAATCCCTACTAAGCTTCAATAGTTAGATCTCTGGGGAAACTAGTTCTTGAACTCTGGCGCACCCTAGTTCTACCCAAATATAATGAGATACAGTTTGTAAAAGATCTTTTAAAATAAAACTGAGGAACTCTTTTTAAATTAGATATGTTTATAAGCAGAAAAAATGACTACTGTAATGTAAACATTACAAGAAAGTTTTCCA